AATGCATGTATTGCCTAAATAAACATGGTGATGTAGCGAAAGTTGGGAGCGACGAGAGAGAATAACATACCCGCCATTTCAGGTGCAATATCCATAGAGTTCGGTACAAAACCGCAGTTGGTGAAGCCCATGGAGCCTACGGTGAATATGAAGAGGATGATTGCAGCATTTTTGTCGCAGCCAACGAATCCCACGGCAACGAGGAAGAGGGAAGGAAATCCGATGCCTTGGAAGAAGTTCGAGACAAAAGAGGCGCAGGGGGGCGGGGGCGGAGGAATAGAGGAAGGTTGTGGCAAGATGCGAGAGTTTAGGGATCTGTGGAAATGCCAAATCGTATGATTTTCAAAAAACTGTACGTAATTGAACGTGCGTGAGTTGAGTATTATGTCATGCCAGATTGTGCTTGAATCAAAAGAATGCGACAAGGCAAGCCAAGTTGTTCAGCATGCATCGGACTCGAACTGAATGCCTTTCTCGACTCGGATAGTCAGAACACGCCAACTTGATTCGCCCATAACTCTACGCCCTAGTTCATAAAGTGATAAGAATAGAGGTCTTCGAGCTGTTGGCTAAATCTCAGAGGTGGCGGTCATCTGGAGATTCGAGAAAATAGTGATTCATAAACGATCATAATTTCAGGATTGAAGTAATCCCGTCAGATCTGAATGAAAATAATAATTAGGTTAATTGTAATTGATTAGAAAGACTCAAATAATGCTAGTAAAAGGAATAATCTCTCCTTGTTGCAGTAATTGAAAAAAGTGAAGTGTGCTAGGTTAGTGAAAAGACGTCGGCAGCGTTGAAGAAGAACAAACATTATACCTCATCGAATGCAGTCAGGCAGATATGTGATGAACAGCCTCAAAGTAATGATATATACGAAGAGAAGTTGGGTTTCGAAGAATATCTTGTTTCATAATTGTTGGGCTTGCTTCCATTTCGAGTAGAAGTGTTTGGTGAAGAGATTCGAAGGTCGGTTCCACCAGAAGACGACTGCGAATTCCTGTTGACCAGCTGTCGATTGGCTTTACTGGAAGATTCATGCTGACGCTGTTTCCGAGGCAA